GCTAGAGAAATGATAAAAGTTTCAGCTTAAGAATTTGCAATATTCCATTATTTAAACAAATTTATCTTTTATATAATAACGATATATTTCAATGTGAAAACTCTATATATAATAAATTTTACATTTACAATTTTTAATATAGTATAACTTCACATAAGCACAAAGACTTTTGATAACGAAAATAAAATGCAATGAGACAGTTTTTCAATGTCAATTTTAATGCAAATTTAATAGATTATCTAGGATTGGTAGAAGGTTGGCTTTAAAATTCTTTTGTTTATTACTCACATGTGGGCAATATCGCCAATCCAAAGACCTCGTCCAAAAAATAGCATTCACAAAACCTCCGCATCCAATTTCGTTTGTTTTACTCGAGCAGCATTACAATTTGATATCGTTGATAGTATTCATACTAGATCATTTTCGATTATCGTATCACTTTCTTCAGTTGCAACATTTTTTCTAGTGACATTCTTTTCCTCAATAGCGTTCATGCTAGTCAGATCCTTTTCAGTCCCATAATTCTCAATCATCACGATTGTTGTACTACTTTCGTTAGTTGCATCAATTTCCCCATTGATGTTGTTTTCCTCAATAGAATTAATTTCTCCAGTTGTGACATTTTCTCCCATTGCGTTACTTTCTCCAGTTGTGATATTTTCTCCCGTTGCATTACTTTCTCCAGTTGTGATATTTTCTCCCGTTGCATTACTTTCTCGGGTTGTGATATTTTCTCCCGTTGCATTACTTTCTCCCGTGGGATTGCAAGTCTCCCCACTTAAATTACTTTCTATGGTAGCATTACTTTCAGTTGTAGTCGTGGTAGTAGTAGTCATTTGAATCTGTTGAGGTCGTTTTGAACGCCGACTTCCGGCTAGATCCTGATCCTCAGGGTCCGAGTCAAGGTGAAGATCAATATCAGTGGGATCAATTGGGGAGCCTATGAACGCACGTCTTTTAACAGTGCTGTTATCATAAACTGATTTTAAGATTTGGATGTATATCAAAATTGATTTCCTAATGTGATTACTTGAAGCTTTACCTGTGGACCAAAGGACGGCAAAGAACCCAACAGCAGTTAAAATAGATACGTTTGAAATCGTAAGGGTTACGAACAAGCCCATTGCGTTTTTCAAGATTTGTTCGGAGCTATTTTAAAAAGAGAAATCACTTAAATTAGAATATTTCTCGTATAACTTTTAAATGCTGCAACAAGGTAAGTTAATTATACCTGTTCTTGAGTAGTCATATTCTTACAAATCAAATAAGTATGAAACGAGGTCAATCCTCCAACAGACCACATCAAAAAAAATGCTACCAATGCTAGAACGCAACTAATTGGAACTTGCATCATGCCCTGTAAAATTCCAAGTTTATTTTTTCGCATTATTAAAACTATATGGAGAATTGAGAACACTTGAACGTATAAGCATAAAATTGTTGCTGTCACGATTAGAGTATAAAATGGACGATAATTTCGGCGACCTATACAGTTGTTTAACCAGATACAATGGTGGTCTTCTCCTTCTAATGAAAATTCAATTTAAAGTTAGAGGTTGCCATTTTCTATCAATCGTTTTTCACAATAATAAAATCGGATTTCAGCACAAAATCTCACCAACACAATTATCACATTGTCGACAATGGCTACATCTAGGCGGCCGATAAATTCTACAAGTTTCACAATATTTCAAAATCAACCTCACCCCATTCATTTTTACATCTTTGGGATAAGGAAAACGATGTAACGGAAAATTATAGGGGCCTTGTGAAGCGTTGACGGTATTGTCGTAGATATCCATTTCAGGGCCTGGGTCAAGGTTTCGTGGGATTATCTGAGGAAAATGGTCTTAATACAATTTATCATCTATTCTGTCAACATTCTCGATAAAGTTGCACCACTTACCCCTGGATCAGACCACGAAGTCAACAACATACTCATCAAAGCTAGCAAGAACAAATAAATGAAGGCGCCAGTCACAATCGGTGAAACATTTTGATATAAAAATGGGCCACTGTTTTGTCGAGAGCAAAAATTTGTTCACATTTAACCCAAAAAATAAGCTCTAAAAAACTCGGATGAAAATTTTCAAAATTTCCCCTCACCTAAAAATCAAAAATAAACAACATGGCACAATCAATGCCAAAATAGCAACCAAGAATGCCGGAGAATCACGACTTGTCATTATTCTCCCACTGAAGTAAAATCTATTCCTTCCCGGCCAAAGTTGATACATTCTTTTTCTACCATGACTATTTTCTCGGGGTGGTGTGGCAGGTTGGAATGTTATTGCTGGGAAATACTTTGAAATTGTTGCGTATGGAGAGGCTATTTGTTGGCCAGGTGTTTTTTCAGATAAGTTTTTGGAAATTGGGTTTTTTCCTCCAAGAATCGTATTAGAATACTTCGTATCAATATTTTGAATCGAACCATTCTCTAATGGTTGTGATCGGTCTCGTTTTTTGTTTACTTCAACATCATTACGACTAATGCTACTGCTATTACTAGAGATGTTTATTATTACTTCGTTGTCGCTAGGACTTAATTGTGAGTTTCCGTCTTCCGAAAATCGACCCTGTTGTTGTTTTTGGGCCAAAATAAACATTTGGGCTCTTTTTTGTAACCTTGCAACTTCCTCTCTTTCTTCGGCGTCTTTTTGTAATGCTATGTATTCCTCAAATGATTGTAATGGGTGATTATGGTGGTTCATTGAGATTGGAGAGTCATTTGCAGAATTCGTTATTGAGTTTAATGTGGGAATTGAGACTGTTATTGATGGCCTTGGGTCTTGAATACCAGAATTATTATTATTCTGATTTCTTTCAATTATTGAATTTGAGGATTCCTGAGGAAGTACCCCAACAGGTGTTAACAAAGGAGGGATTGGCTCGGTAGAAGGACCCGATACATTTTGTTTGTTATTAAAGTTATTAACTGAATATACGGATTTTCGACGAATTGAAGATGAGCTGTGTAATATTGGTTTTCGTGGAGCGAAAAATTGCTTTGAAGGGAGAATTCCAGACGCGTGTCTTGATAATCTTGCTTGGTGGTTGATATGGTTGTTGTTCATTGGATTGGTGAGATTGACGAGAAAAATGTTAAAGAAAGTGAATGGAAAGGACGTAAAGGGAAAGTTAGAGGAAAAGGGAAAGGTAAAGGTAAAGGTAAAGGAGAGGGAGAAGGAAAGGGAAAAAGGAAATAAATTTGAAATAACTGATCATTTCTAACTGGTGAAATGCAAAAATGTTTGATGCGATATTAAAAAAACTAGCATGTTGTAGATTATTGACTTGTTAATGATATGCATATTTATTGGGTACCATTTTTGCATTCTGTCTTAATAGGGAACCTATCAGAAATAAACTCAATGCATAAAATAACTTAAAAAAAGCTAAATGTGATTGAGCAACAAGCTGTAAGCTCTTTTTGGTGGGACCAAAAAGTTAAATATAATATTGATATTGCGAATAATATGCTTATGTAATTTTATAATTTCAGTTTATGAATCAAAAATTTATTTCATTAAACTGATCGAAGTATTGATACTAGAGAAGCTTGATTTCAATTTAAGAAAAGGATTAAAGATCTTGAATGACAAAATTAAAACCTAGGTTCACTTCCAAGATTAATCAATAATGGGAATTGTGTTAACTTTCTTACATAATTAATATATTTAATAACTCCAAATCCTAAATGCTTTTTATGCCTATTAAAACCCTGATTATGAATTAAATTTGTGGTATTAATATTTAAAGTAATTTGGTTTTTTAATAGTATTTACAGTGTCATAAAGAGGCGTAAAAGAAAAAAACAGTATTTATTGGTAATTCAACAAAATAGAACCACTTGTCAAAGTATTTTGATTGTGGAAGCAGTCAAACAAAATATATAAAGACCACTTTAAAGGCATAGAAATCTCAAAAACTTCAAAGCGACTCAAAATAGGGGATCTAAAATCTTGATTTAATTGAAAAACTTCTCAAAAGAGAAAGATAATAACAAAAAAGATGTTTAGATATTCTAATTTTAACATTAAAGAAGTTAAAAACTTCTGTAAATGCAAAAAGCAATAGCATTATAGAAATTTAAAATAAATATTTTTAAGTGATAAGAAGCTTATAACAAATAAATAATTCATAAACTAAGAGAGAAAAACAAGCTATTACTTTCAGGAAAAGCCAAAAATTTAAAAGCAAACCAAATTTCTTATTATTGGAAATATCAAAATTGAAGATAAAAATTTTAAAAACTATTTAAACAATTTATAACTATAAAATTAGATGTAATAAATAATATATTAAGGATATAAAATAAAAAATTTATATTTATATGATTAGATTTGTAATAAATTTCAATTAAAAATTATTATTATTATTATTATATCATGTAATTTTATTATTATTTTTAATAAATGGATATAATAATTTAATTAAATATTAACTTCATTATGATAGCAATTTAAATTAATAATTAATAAATTTATAATATTAAAACTATTTTTCATAATAATTAATTTTTATAATAATTAATTTAACGAATAACAATTAAATGACGAAATTGAAGTAATCAGTATCATTAATGAATTTTATGTATTGACATTTTTCGTAGACTTTAGTAATAAAACCATTAAAATGTAAGATTTTTACAAATAGTTTATTATTGTTTTTGAAACAATAAGTTCGATTTAAAAAAATTATATAAATAACTTTATCATGGCAGCAAAAAAGTTTCATTAAGATTACATGTTCAAAAATCATTTATGTTGAGAATTATGGTATCAATATATACAATTAGTTTTCGAACTAACTTTTCATAATTTTTTTATGCATAAATTTGTGAATTCAGGGCAGTTGTCAAAAATAATATATTAACATAAAATTTTTTTCCAAAATAATAATTAAATCCTACTGTAAATGTTGCATATTGAATTTTATGAGAATCGTTTCATATAAAATATTTTATTATACAAAGATCTGGTGGATAATTAATAAATAAGTCTCGGTTAGTATAGTGGTGAGTATCCCCGCCTGTCACGCGGGAGACCGGGGTTCAATTCCCCGACCGAGAGATATATTTTGGATAATTTTATTATAATGTTAATGAGTAATTAAATGTAATATTCGATTATCTTTAAGCAAAAAATTTTGATTTTTATTTTCAAGAATTTACAATATTGATTATATGATTCATTTTAGACACAAAATTGAATCCACTCAATTGTCATCTCTTTCAATTAACTGTTAGCTCCAGGGTTCGAAGATTTTATCATTTTCGCAGCATCTTTAACTGCTTCGGGTATTTTCTCTTGTATCACCTTGGGAATCGAATCTTCTAATTGCAGTGGTTGTATTTCTGAATCTTTCAATGGCTTCTGTTCTGGGGATTTGTTTGTAGGTGTTTTTAAAGATGTACCATTTTTACCATTTCCCTGTTTTTCTGGTGGCGGATGCGGCTCTTGCGTCATTTCAGGTTTTTCTTGTCCCATCAAAGCTTGTTGTTCGGCTTTTGCCTGACCCTCTGATACATCATTATCATCATCCACCAATTTTTCTCCACAACACGGTTGACAAATTAATAATCGAGTAAAACCTTTGTATATCTCATAGATTATCAATTGGCTCTGATTAATTCGCCAAATATTGGATATCCAAGACAAAATATTTAAGAAAGCTGTCATTGTGATTGCTACCGTTGATACGATTAAGGTGGTTTTGGTGAAGAGAGCAGCATGTTGTGCAGAAAGGGCCAATTGAGTAGCATCCTGTGATTGGATGGGTTGAGTATTATTAGGATTTAATTGTCTCGCAACCAGATAGTTTAATCCTGTGTTTAATTCGCTAGGACCAATTGCATCTGGATTTGAATTAATAAAGGTACTAAGATCATTCATCTTAATATTTGTCGCCAGTGAACATGCTACCATAATGAATAATTGACTCAGAATTCCAATACATTCCGAGAACTGAGCATCCAATCGTTGGACAGATAAATTATATTTTTCCAGTGTCGGTTTTAAGAGATTAATGAGTTGAAACGGTCCCCCATAAAATATAGGCCCGCGTAGATTTTCGGGAAGTGATTTTATTCCATTTGGATGAATAAATGTCATCCCTAGTACGATGAAATTGGCCAATACAAAGAACAAAATCTGTAGGCTACATGTGGCACCACTGATCTTTCCAATGATATTGTAATTATAGAAATTCCATTCGGTAAAATCGAGACTTCCGATGAAAACTTCATAGAGAAAATCACCAAATGAGTTAGATTGACCTAATAGGGTCAGCCAATTCAAGGCCAAGGACGTGTAATACAATAGATAAGTTATAGCCAGATCGATTTTATAGATTCGATGGGTAATTCGTCGTTCTTCAAGAATACGTTCCGCTGGCGTGTCCGGGTCTATTTTGCTGATCGCATCTTCAATATTATCTTTGATCCCAAATTTTTCCAACGCATTTAGACCACTTTTCACAGCTTCGCCATCATAATTTTTTCGTAGACGATTTATCCCGCCAAATATTCTTCGACGAGGCTCTTCTTTAGGCACGTTGATTGTGATATGAGGATTGGTTGGGGGTCCTTTTGGTGGTCCTTTTGGTGGTGCTTCTGGTGGTATTTCTGCGGTCGTTGCCGCTACTACTAAAGGATTGCTGGTCGGTGAAGGTTTTTGTGGTGGTGGTGGTGGTGTAGCCATGATAAACGATTCTTAAAATGAGAATTGGTCGTTGAAAATTTAGACAATTCAGTTGCTGATAACAGAATAAAACAGTGGCTATGCTATATGCAATTCCAAAAATCAATTGGGACATTAAAAGCAACCATATCTTCGAAATTAGGTTTGCTTTATCAAGTACTAAAACGTTACTGAGCCAACAGGTTTAAATTGAATTAGCGCCTTGTGTTCACTCTTCCCGAGTAAAACGGAAATTCTCGATTGGCATCATCCCTGCATCCCTTTTCTCTCGCACCACAGACAAAATAAATTTCTTACCAAAATCGGTCAAAAAGGTAAAAAAGGAAACAATAACAGATGATCGAGGCACTGCATAGGTGTTTGCACAACCCTGGCGTCAAGCGTCGACAAAATATAGAATTGATATTCTTAATGCAGAGATTTAGGATAATTGTTTTAAACTTGAATTATTTCGACCCTGGATTGTACAGCCTTTACATCCTATTTTGCTTATGACGCCACATACTGGACGTGTACCCTGAATCCTAATCATTAAGCACCACCTTCATAACCTAAATACTTCCATATGGTTTCAGTGTCTTTGAAACCCATTTTTCGCATGACTATCCTTCAACTCACTCAACAACAGAGGAAATTGTGTGTGGATCTCTTTCCTTTGGATGTCTGTTTAATCTTCAAACACCGAATTGAATTATAAGGAATTTTGGCTTGAAATGAAGTCGGAGTTTTCATAACAAGAGTTTTGTTTTTGATCTTGATTTGTAAGTTTTTATATTTCCATACTTTTCTTCATAAAAATAAACAAAATTTCAAATTCATCTTATTAAAGTTTTTAAGAAAAACCAAATCTGGCTAAATTCATGTCTATTTAAATCACTTGGCTAGTACTGAAAAAGACCGAGTTTTTTAAGATTCAGAATAATAAGTGTCAATTTTTCATGTGGTTTTCGTTCAGTATTAATAAACGCAATTAATTCTCATATTTTTGTTTCCTATTTCAACAAAACGGAAAAAAAATAATCCACTTGGCAACAAGTGCACCACAAATTTCACTTATTATGTTATATATACGAGCAGTAGGGCCAAAGAAGTTTTGCAAAATATTTCCTGAAAAATTTTGATTTTTATCAGATTTATGTTTAAGGCAAAAGAAATTGGTGGGGTGAATAAATACCTGCAAAATAACTTGTTTTTTCATACAACTCAAGTATGACTGTGCTAATCGAGTAATTGAACAACAAATTCTGAATTGAATCATATGAAAATAGTTGTACAGATTCGGTAAAGCTGTTATTTGAATTCATAGTCTTGAGGTGGAAACCAATATTTTATTTCTTAAGAAACCAAATCAATCATAAAGGATTTTTATTAATTAGTTTGCAAATGTAAATTAAAAGGATAAACGGTGTCAGATCTTGTGAAGTAACAATTACGAATTTCGGGTTATATAGTTCACCTTAACTAAATCCAAATTTTCTTTAACGACAATATAGAAAAAACTTTTTAAGTCAAAGATTTTTCATTTCCCAATCTATTTATAAGGATCTCGGTCAAAAACTTTTGTTCGCTTTTCGGTGACTTAATAATGGGAATTGTTGGCCGGTTTAATCCTTTAATTATTACAACAGTCTAAGTATGGATCAAAATTCAAATTTTTGATGATTGTTAGGTAAAAGTTGGAAATGCCCGTGAATCTTTATGATTTCAACAATGGAACTTTTTGAAAAACTTATCTTTAAAGCTTTAAAGTTAAGCACTATTCCCACCACCATATTGAATTGCTTTATATCGAATTCATTTTTGAAGCTTTAAAACATTAGAAATTTTCATTAAAATTCATATTTTTCTGATTAAACTCATAGCATGAAAATACGAAAAAAAGCTCAACTGTATAGAATAATTTGAATGTTGAAAAATAAAAATAAAATTTAAATGTAATTCTTGGCTTTTAATATTAGTGTGTTTTGTTTATTATAATATAATTTGAAACAGCTTATAGGTATTATTTTCTTGTAAATATTTAATTAATAAAATATTTAAGTAATCATCTAAGGTTAAATGTATTAAAAACTTGGTATTTGATTATGCTAAAAGTTGAAATAATAATTTTTCAATTACACATATAAGCTATTTAAATTGCAAAAAACATTTGCTAGAAACTTCCAATTTGGTTTTTGTATGAGTAAAATATTATACTTTGCTAAATATATTGATTGATTTTTTTGGAACTATATTATGCAACATATTGTAAAAACTTTGAAATCAAATAAATTTATTTGATTTTCAACCGATTGCCGCGGAATTAATCGCAAATTCAACCAATTAGTTTGGCAACAAAGACGTAGAAAGCTGGTAGCTATGACAATAGATTTTTTTAAACTAGAAATGGGGGTGGGAAGTACAAGTGTGCCCATGCATACGCCTTTGTGTATTGCATGCTGCAACTAGGGCAGAGATCCCAAGATGGGTGCCTAGTAAAAAAATATGTGAAATTTAAACTTTAGCTTAAAAATCTTTGTTACCGACCACATAACTGGGTGGAGGTTTGTTAGATCACTCAATGAAGCTTGGCATTAATCTTGATTTTTTTTTAAAAGAAATTAATAACAGATTGATATAACAAATATCAATTTATTTTACTCGAAGAATTGAATTTAAATCTTGCTCCTTTGAAGCTTCTAAAAGTTAAAGACGTTATTGTTTTAACCTACATCCATAAGGAAATAATGATAACTGAAATATGCACCGTAACCTTTAAAAAGTATAACTTTGATTCAATAAATTAAATTTCGTTAATCTCATCTAATTTTCGAGGGGACAATACTTAAAGGAGAGATCATTCAAATTTTTAGAACACTGAAACTTAAAATCTTAAATTTTGATCTACATATCCGGCAAACTCTGATCAAGTAATTGTGCCTACAAATCTTAATTAATTCTCCAAATATGGAAAATTGGAACCAATTTTATTTCCTAATTCATGATGACAGCGTGTCATTAGTCTTGAACTGAACACAAAACATTGCAAATCTATTGTATCGATTATAAATTAGAAATAAAAAATTTGTGTACCATAAGTTGCTGACTTTTAGACCTCCGCTATAATTTATACCCAGGTATTTTCAATTATGTACATTACAACTCTTTGAATTATACTATGTAGAATCTTACATTTTTAATAGTTATAAATTTCCAGCAATTTTTTTGAAAGTACAACTCAGGAAATATGCTTCCACCCAATACAGAATACAATTAAATGTTAAATATATATAAATTTTGAGAAATATAATAACAAAAGTAATCAAAGTTAAAAAATATTTAACAAATTTTAAAATTATAATTAAAATTCTAATAAATTTAATTTGAATTCA